AAAAAGCTATAAATAAAAGTTTCATGGTATTTGAGTACTCATTTTGTGAGATATGAAGAAATTAGCACACAGGTGTATGTAAGCTAGGGTTTAAAGCTACTATTAGGGTTTTGGCAATATCTCAAGATCCGTACTGAATTTGTAGTTGAATTTTTTTGTGGAAGTTTTTGAAAGTATATTAGTACTTCACTTAAAATTTATAATTTTTTGGACTGTCCAATCGTGAGATATGAGCTATTGAAGTTCAAGAAATATTTCTCATAAGGATATATAAGGTTTTAAGATATTTTATCATACATTTGGGTGTTTTCTTAGTACTTGGGCTTATATTTTGATGTAATTGCCAAAAAAAAATATTATATATATATATATATATAATCTTGGTATTTTTATATTTTAAATTTAATTGAGTATTTAGTGGCAGCTAGAAGCCGAGCATTTATTTGAGGCAAACTCTCTCTATCCCGACACCGTGACATCTTGCTATGATCATGCTTGGTATGTAAACTTATTATATTATAGTTGTAAACTTACTTGCTAAGATTTTGAGTATATAAATATCTACTATAGAAATTAAGTTAAGATAATTCTATTAAAAAATTAAAAGATTTAAAGAATTATAACCACAAGTGCAATTGCTTTAATTTGGAGAAAAATAACCTTCTATAAATCTAAAAAATACTACTTGATGAGCAAATATGACTTATAAGAGTCTAAAAAAAAGTTAAATATGGTATTGGATCAACTCATGCATTAAGTGTTATTTAATAATAAAGAAGATTGATTATATACTTACTTCAAATAATATCTACCAAAATATATTTTTACAACATTAAAAATATGTATTGATAAAGGTAGAGTAAAATAAAAAGTTCTTAGATGGAATTAAGGCATTGTTATGTGATAGATAATAAGGTTGGTTATATGAGGTATAATTCATGTATGATCTATTCTTTTTAAAATATTTTTTATTAATGTCCATATCTAGTTTAAATTAGATAGATGAAAAAAATACTATCGACTAAGTTGAAGATAAAAAAATAATAAAAGCCAACTACAATTTCTATTAGATCTAAAGAGTCTTAAAATATTTAATAATGGAATTTTCTAAAAGTTAAGAATATTCAACATTTAGAGGATTATAAATTAAGGTAGTTTAATAAAAAAGAAGTTTGGTAAATAAGATAGTTTAATAAAAAAGAATTTGATAAATAAGATAGTTTAATAAAAAAGAAGTTAAAAGATAGTTGAAAAAAATATTCAAAGCAACCAAAGTCCGAAGTATAAAGAAACAATTGGCACAAATAAAGTTACAAAAGATCAATTATCTCAACTAATAGACAATGTAGAAAACATAGGATTGTAAAAAGATCTAATTGCACTCTAGCATGGATACTTATACAACTTGATGTGGTAGTTCAAAGATGAAGCAATAGTATGGAAATTACTTAAGAAGTAGTTGTAGTTGGCATTGATAATATAATTTGAGAGAATCTAAATGAGTGAGATTTTTGATTTATTATGCAAATCTACTATGTAAAGAATGAAAGGAACAATTAGCCCCTTTAATGAAATATGATGATCTTAAAGATAATATCCACACATGCACTCAATTTATATGATATTAAAAAGATATATTAATTCAATGGTATATGACACCTAAGACATAAGAAAATATTTAAATTTTTTATAGTGATCTTTAACTCGAATTATCCTAAAAAGTTTAATAAGACATTAAAAATCATATTAGCCAAGACAATTATTAGCACTTGTGCCTCAAATTGGGCTAAATTATTTTAAGATGCCATCCATTATCAACAACTAAAACATGTAATAAGTAGATTTTTTTTTATCATTTTTATTTATTTTATTTATTTTATTAATATCATTTATACTAAATTAAATGATTATTTATTTTCTTAAAAGATATGATGAATGAATTTGATAGGAGATAGTGTGGAAATTCTAAAAAATAGAGCTATTAGAAAAAAAAAGATTACAAATTTGAGACAAAAAAAGAAGATAGTGGGATTTAAAAATAAAAAGATCATCATTTCAAAGGTTATATTTTTTCTATTTTTATAGTATTAAAATTATTAGAGATCTTTGAATAAGTGATGGTATTAATAAAACAAGTAAAAGAGCTTAAGGAGAAACTATTATAATTTTTTAAAAAAAGCACAATAAGCCAATCTATAATTCAATACAAAGATGTTTTAAATCAAGGAGTTAAGAGAATTTTGATCAATAAATCTAGATTTAGTAGCTAAGATCTAATATTAGAATCAAATAATAAAAAAATAAGAATAAGTGGTTGTAAATTAAATGATTAAGATAACAACCAACTTTATATTAAGGTGGTTAAAATACAAAAGATCATATATAGAATTAGCTAAAAGAGTAGTACAAGCTAGTTGCATGACTTAGAGATAATAATAATATGAAACTAAAAAGATCCAAAAAACTTTATTTAAAATTATTTAAAATTTATTATTTTTTTATTAAAAAGTAATAGTTTTAATATAGAAGTAAGTGTAGATAATTAGTTAGGGACTAAAAATAAAACCAAAGAAATAATTTTTACTCCACATAACAATAAAAATTTTATTTTTTTTTGAAATTGTATCAATCTCTAATCACTGGCTAAATTGTATATAAAAAATACAAGATCTTATTACCATAAAACCTACTACTATTGATTTGGAAGGTAATAGAGTTACTAAATCCATGAATGAAGAACTTGTTGAATTAATACATATAGAAGAAAAAGACAAGTCATTTGAAGAATAAAGATTTATCATAAGAATAAATAAATGAGCCAAATGGTATAACATTCTATAATTGGATTAGATTAAAATTAATATTGATCAAAACTAAGAATTATCATCCTTAATAATTTAATTGGCATAACTTAGATAGGACTATAGATATTAGAAGAAGAGGCCAAGAAATACCTCTTAGGATAGAATCTCTTTAAGTTAAATATGAAAGAATAATCTTTTGAAAGGAGATGTGATACTATATTTTACATTTAACCAAATCAAAATTATATTTAGACTTCTTCATCAACTTTTGATGTCACTAAAGTAACACCTTGTATATACTTAAGAGATAGAACTTATGCTCATCATATTAAATTGATTACTATGATAAAACTATTTTGTAAGTATTATTGAACAAGATGCTAGCATAGATATAACCATATATAAGGTGAAGATGGAATTCTTAGTAGTCTTGATAATTCAAAGTACTTTTAAAACTAGCTAAGTTTAACATCTTATAATTGGGTAGAATTCTTGAAGTAGAATAATTATTTAGATCAAATTCCACAAATCCAAGAGAAGGCTGAAAACTTAACTTGTATTAATAATCATTTGATTTGATGGCAATGTTTGGTAACTGATAAACAAAGTATTATAAGGTAAAGCTAGAAACACCATTTGTAAGATTTGGGTTGTTTGAATTTTAATAAGAGAATCTTGAAACTATTTTAGATAGAATAAGAAGAGTTGGTAGGATTAGACAAAATGCCAAAATACCATCTTTATTTTTGAAGGACTATTAATAAGAAAAATAATGCTATCTAAGTCTTTTAGAATAGAAAACATTATTTTTTGGTCTCTTTAATCAATCCAAATACCACAAATTTTAAAAGGCTATTATTAGATATAAAATATCTTATAATATATTTCTCATACTTATTCCCATTAAACTTCAAAAGTTATTAATTAGAATATTATTATTGTTGTAGTACCAAAACTAGATCCAAATGCTTTATACAACTTGTTAATATAGAATGGAATAAGAGTATCTCTCTCCCTCCAAAGTTGTGAAGGCAATTTGGAATTTTCTCTATTTTATTATAAAATCCAAAAAAAAAAAAAACAAAATAAGAAAAGATTATAATATACAAAAAGAAATAAGATTTGAAAAGTAGATTGTTTGCCACTACAATTGAAGGCCAATATAAGATGGATTAAAATTATTTGAGTTTAGTCCTTCAAAAATTAATTAATTAATTGATTAAATATTTGATTATATGTGTTTGGATCAACAAGTAATGAAGATTTTGGATATTGGATGAAATACTTATGAGGTAGAATTAAAAAAGAGTAATAATCCAAAGAACGATTTCTTAATATTAGATAGTGCATGGATGTATGTTTAAAAGAACTACAAAATAAAAAAGAAAATTGATGAAGAAGAGAAAAGAATTTTTCTTCCAATTATACAATTTTGCTCATAGATCATAAATTATAAGAACATTATGTCATTCCTAGGTATTTTAGCACCTTGCTGTGGCATTCAATAAGTTTTAGAATAGAAGTAATTATACTCTATAGCTAAAAGCATCGCAAAAGAAAAAGAAACAAGAAGATATAATTTTTTAAAAAAATGTAATTGAATGAAAGACTTATATATGAAATACCACTAGAAAATATAACCTACAAGATAATAAAGAAGCAATTTATTTACCAAACTAAATAATGAAACCATTAGAAAAGTAAAAACATACTACAAAATATTAAAACCTTTGTTGCTAGCACCTTCATTCTTATATACTTTAAAATTTCACATTTAAACTTCTTATTCAATGCATCACTTAGATTTTTGATCAATTTTCGCTTAAAAAAAAACACACCCTCTCAAGCAACTAAACACAATTATTAATCCCAAAAAAAATCCACCGACATCCTTCAAAAATATTTCCCCTTCTCCATCAAACATCTCCAATAATTTTACATAAAAAATTATAAAAAATCAATAATATTCATTCACTTCAGCCATGTGGCATGTAACCCAAAAGGGAACTGATTGGAGTTGCTTTTCACACTGATTCACATGAAAAAGCTTCAGCATGAATGCCCACTAAGATGCCTCCAATCATGCCATGAAGCCCTCGTTCAATGCATTGGCTGCACTGTTCCTCCTTTGCATTGTTGTTGCATCCAGATCCTGCTGATGGTATGTTTTCCACACAGTTTCTTAACCAGGTTTGCTGCATGTGCTCTTTCCTTGTTTCGGTGCCGATCTGCTGGCGAGTGTCACAGGTTGCAAATCCCTCGTCGCTCAATCAGCATAACACTGTCTCCGCAAATCTGCCATTACATGGAGAGTTCTTTAGGGTTTGCCACGATTTTGCAGCTTTGCAACATCAACTAGCATCTCATCGAATTAGCCTGTCGCCGTTGAAATTTCTACATGCCTGAAGAGGTGCAACGTGAATGCCATAGTTTTTGTACAGCTAGCTGCCGGTAGTACTGTGATGACGAGTGATGATGTTCAAGTGGGTCCGAGGTTGAGGTGATTTATAGCCTGCGTTGAGATGATTTGAGGACTGGGTTGTGTCTTTGCTCTTGAGTAAGGTGGAAGCTGGAGTTGGGTGTTAGGGTACAAAATTGCATATATCGATTCTAAATTCTTCCACTTCCATGGATTGATCATCTTGACACACTCGATTGGTTTTGCTTTGGTCCTGGCATCAAGACCTCAGCTGGCTAAGTCTCTTTCCTGGGATAAGTTGTGTGCGTTTGCTGATGCAGTGTGATTGAAGAATCCCGAACCAGCAAGACCTACGCTTTATCCATACACTGATCAAGATGGGTTCCCCCAAAAAAATTGTGATCGGTATCAGCGTTGTGTCCTATCTCATTGCTTTTGGTCTCGCTCTTGGAGCAATGACCAGACGGAGCCGGGTTGGTACCTCTTCCCCCTTAGACGGCTTTCTCCACACCTAACAAATCTCAACACTGTCCTGCATTTAACACAATCGCCCTAAGGGATTCAATGTCTCGTGTTAGTTCCTGCAACTTATCACTCCGAGCACTACTGCTTGAGTCTAAAATTTCCTGCTATCGTCTTTCCCCTTTTCACCGTTGTCTTAGGTTGTTAGTGTTTCGATTTCCGTTACCTGAAACTATCCTTTATTGCGGGTTGATCTGCTCGCAGGGAGATCTCGTAGTAGTAGATGAGGATTCGGGAACCTTGCGGTGCCAGTACACTACAGACATTTCAACTGGACTCGCTGCTACCGCTTTTCTTTTTCTTCTGCTCGGCCAGATGTTGATCATGATTGTCACACGGTGCCTGTGCTGCGGGGGTGGCTATAAGCCTGGTGGCGCCCGCACTGTGGGTATCATAGTGCTACTCTTATCATGGTGAACTATTACTACAACCCCTCCTAGCTCGATTTGTTCAATTATCTCGCTTTAAATGATACATGATGAAGCATTGAGTTCATTGTTTGCTAAAGCAGGTAGTGTCGAAAGTGGAGGATGGAAGAATCAACAACCAGTTCCTTGATTGCCGTGAACCTTTGCTCTTTGCGCAGGATCTGTTTCATAATTGCGTCGGCAGCTCTGTTTGCAGGTGCAGACCAGAACAAGATCCGAACCAAAGGGTTGCTGTATCGAAGCGATAGAAACCTGTCCTGCAAGCAAGTGCGAAGGAGTTTATTTGCAGCGGCAGCTGCTTTCACTTTTATCACAATGTTAATGACAGAGATTTACTATATCCTCATCTCAAGAGCTCGAGAGCAAGACGTAGCCTGGCACTCGTATGGCCCATCGGTAGGCATGTCTGGGTACACTTGAAATTTTTCTTGTAGAGCTCCACAATTGTTAGGGCGCGGATTCTTTTGAAAATTCATTATTTTTCCTCCATTTCAATAGCTTCTAGAGAAGCAAGAATGTTTAGTTGAACTGTGAACAAACGGAAGTACCCTAGCTCGTTTCCAGCGCTGCAGTAAATGAAAGTGTACCTCATGCATTCATGAAGCAACTGAATTTCAATCTAAACACTTTTCTGTTTCAAGGCTAGACTGCTGCTGTCCCTGTCGCTTGAGTTTTGTGCGTCCTCGCATAGGACTTGCACCCAGATTGGATTCGGGTCGTCTCACAAATTATACTGGTCCACGGTGCACCTGTCAACTGATGAGAATTGCATGATCCAGCTCTTTAAGACCCAAGCGATGCGTCCGTTGAAGTAGCTCGGGCATCGCATGTAAGGCGTGTGTTGTTTGGTTGTAGTCGTTGTATAGTTCTGAATTCCTGCCCTAGCCTGTTGTGACTCTCACAGTGCGGGAGTGCTCGCACCAGTGTGCAGTTTGGCCTCACGAAGGATCGGCTGGTCTGGAACTTGGAGTGTAGGTGCTGGACGAATTATCCACTACTCTCGTATCCAACGGTGAAATTATCTAGATAGTATCGCTGCGATCGAATTACAGGTATTTCTTCTCAAGCAATCTCTTTCTGGTAAGCTCTTGACCCTGATCTCAATCCTTCACCCTATCCTGTGAAGATGTCGCAACGCGAGGTTGAGCTCCACCCTTTGTCGGAAAAGCTGTTCAATTCTAGGGATCCAGTGTACAAACACCCGTCAAAGCCCAGGACGGCCGATTTCTACGACTCCGAGGTCGATATTGATTGGTCAAAGTGCGATAGGCCGCAACCGGATGATACCGAAACTTTTGCGAATAATCCGCCAAGGGTCAGAGACCACGATCGCCAAGACTACCGGAATCGCCGAATCCAACAGATTCTTCAAGACGTCTGCGTTAGAAACAGAGACGAACCATTTGATGTTTTTATAGAAAGGGCGTACTGTCAGGCTCAAGCGACGCTCAGTGCGCATGGCAAAGGGGAGCATGGCAATGACTATCCAACACTCTTGGACCGCTGGGTGTACCGCTTCGTGCTAGGCTTTAAGTTCGTCTCTAGACTGAGTGGGAAGAAATGGGACCCCGCGGACGAGAAGATGCTGACGAAATTAATCCGGGAGGAGTGCGAGATTCTCTCGAAGAAGGATGAGATGTTTTCCGATCCACACGAGATGTGCAGGAAAGTGAAACGAGCGTGGGAGCCTGTCAAGGAGGACTTGTACATGGGAGCCAGTACCAAGTCAGGTTCTAGTAATTACGCTCAGAGATCGTAGAATGCTGTGCACGGAGGCAGCTAAATGGAGCTCGCGGGAGGATAAGAGAATCGATGTGTCTTCTATAATTTTTTCCTACACCTGCTCCATTGTTGATGCTGCCTCAAACTCCCCTTGCTATTTAGGATTCGAATCGACTGGTTAACTTGTTGACTGTGCCAGAAGTTACGTAGTTGAATGCAGGCTCTTAACATAAAGAAGAGGGCTGTTCATTAGGCGCCGCTAGAAATTTCTTGTTTTCTTCAGCAGGCAATGAGGACGGAATGCAGTGCAGCCAGTTGAGAAGGAATCACAGCGTTTCTCGAGACAGATTTTGATGCAGAGCAATTTTTTTCTTCTCGTAATGCAGGCATGGTTCAAGAAAATGGCTGGAAGTAGAGATGAACGAATAGTTGCAAGATGTGACCCACTCCTTTGTAACACCATTAAAATTAGTGAAACCTGGATTTGTAAAATAAAGCGTCGTTTGAGCGCCTAAATTATCTGAAGATACAGTGTCATCATTCCAATGTCTCATTAGTAGAATCTTCGAAGTCTGCGTGTGCTTAAATTCTTGCTTTCTGTGAAAAGTGCTGTCTCTATGCTTACTGGAATCTATGAAGTATGTTGTGGACACACTTCTGTATAGAATAATGGGCGCATCCCATGTTCTCTGATGGCACGCATCTGGTAATTGTCATTTGCCACTTAATTCAGTGCAGCTTAGCGCAAGACGTATTCATCCATGGCCAGTTGTGATAATATAACTGTCACATTCTCCATGGACGGTAACCACGTTTCGGGATTTTATCAAGCTGGTACAAGAGAACTTGATCAGGCGATTGCAATTCGTAATGAACACAATTCAATTAACTGTTCTTACAAAGTTCAATCGGAACTTTACGTTGCTATCCAAGCTTTTACTTAGTTCATATCAACATCATTCCTATTTCCCCGCCCAAACCCGGAAGTTAAGAAACAGATCTAAAATTGCTCATCACGCACAGGACTGGGAGACAGTATCAGGTCAGGAGCTAACAGAACATTATATAGTTCTATGATATATATAATTATATAGTTATATAGTTATGATATATATATATATATATATATATATAAATAGTTATATAGTTCTCGCATCTGGGATGGCTCGTCAACATGATTTTCATGATGCCTGTGAATGTTAACATCTCGCAGGAAATAGATGAGTGTTATTCAAGCAGATGAGGGTTATTTCTCGAGCCGGTTACAAAGGTGTCAACAACTTGGTCGAATGAATCAAAGGTGTACATTGCAACCTCTCCGCAATAGTTAACAAAGCATGCTTCGCTTCATATAGTCAAGATAAGTCCAGGTTTGGTGTTATTCACATCATGCCAGAGTTTGCTCTGCCAAATAATTGGAGATGTGGACTGCAATGGTAATTGCCGCTTCGAACAACACGAGTCCGAAGTTAAGCAAGCACTGGAGTTGATTGAGACAGCTGTGTTCCAGTATTCCTGGAGCTGAACCAGTTTGCCTTCCTTGACTGTCCATATGTGCACCCACGCAACCTCTTGGCAAAAACTTTCGCCCTCAACAATCACAATATTGTGAGTAGCAAGAATGCTCGACGGAATCAGGGTAACAGATCGAAATGAGATGATTCCTGTCAGCAGCTTGCTCATGTGTTGGTGGCAGGGTGGCCCGTGGAACCAGAGATCCAGGTCTTTGGCCAGCAGAGAATTCACTAGGACTGTATTTCCGCTGGCAAGGGCATTGTAGAAGCAGCGCAATATGCGTTCGTTGTCCTGCATGTCAGCAAAAAGAGTGGCTGCAGTATTTTCGTCCTCAGTAACAAAATCTTCAGACCCCGCAGTAGCACTGGAATGGTCAGATATTTCCTCCGGGAAGTTGCTACCATCAGAAGAATTGCAAGAGTATTCGGGCCTCATTATAGCTTCTGATAATGTCCCTCCACAGTGATCCACATTCACTCCCACTTCCTCTCGGAGTTGAAGGGCTTGTTGGCGTGGAATTCCTGCACATCGCGCATTAAAAATAATTCAAAGTTGTGAACGACGTTCTTAGGATCCACAATGAAGCATCTTATCCCGAAGCTGGTTCGTGCTCCATCGCTCAAGTGCGTAATCTTCTTGACCCGGGCTTTATCTTCCTCTCCTTCTAGTTTACTGAGGCCGCGATCGAACGTTCTGCTTGAGGTTGGAGACGCATCACACGGAACTATTCATCCAGCACAGTAAATTTATTTGAGCATACTCACGAGACATCATCTATGTCGAAACAAGGAATTCAACCTAAACGGGAGACCGGAAAGGCAAAATGACTTAACTTTGAACAATTGTTCTGTGCATCTCACGTAGTAAAGTCCTCTTTTATAATTTCCTGCCAGCGGCTCTACATTAGACGGGACTTTGCACAATCCGTGGAAAGACCTTAGGGCTGAATCAAAGCATAACGGCAATTCTCCGATTCAGCATGTCTGTGGCATGCGTCTCGCTCCCTGCCTAACACCAACGCGAGTGGCCATCGTTACAGCCGTGCTGATTTATTTATTTTTGGTTTCTGTTGAGGAAAATAGTCCTTCCAGCTTCAGAAACCTGCTCAGACATGCCCTGCATCCGACTCGTTGTTGTACACACACACACTCAACAACTTTGTTGTGATAGGACCAAGTGGTGCAGAAACATGTTTGGAGCAAGTCGACCGTGACTCGGTGCTTGAGGAAGCATTGTGTCTATGGTGGAATCTGCATCATGCGTCTATTGAGTACAACATTGTTACGAACCCTTCAGATTTGTGGAACAGGATTTGAGCCTCTCACATCGCACCCTACTTGCATTTGAGTTTTCTTTTCCTTCGGATGTACATGTTATGATATTCATGCTTGTCATATTCTATAGTATATGTCTTTTTAGGTTGAAAGTTCAATTCACTTGTTTTTTTTGTAATGTTCAACATATAAAATATGAAATTTTTGTCTCAACTCGTGAAGTACTGAAGTTGCTGAGGTAAAACATAAGATTATGTAGGAAAACAAGGAGTGAGTTAAAAGGTAAATAGATTTCATGTAATCGAATAGAATTTGTTTATTCTGTTTAATATTATTTTGTGTATGTTTGTCCATGAATTTGTATAAAACTTGCTCATGTATGATATAGAATTTTGACTTTGGCTAAATGTGCTTAGATGAAAGAATGATATAATAGCTTCTTACCATATCATCTCATATGTATAAAAGAATTTAAAGTTTTTATGGACAAATTATAAAAAAAACTTAAAAGTGCAACAACAATTAAGACTTTAAAAATCTTGGTTTAAAGAATGCAAGATCAAAAAAATAAGAATTTTATATTGCAAATAAAAAATAAAAATAAAAAATAAAAATCTTTTTTTGTTACAACTTAATAACAAGTTACAAAGACTCTTAGAATTTATAATCTTTTATTTAATTATAATTTTAAATTGCCCAAAATTCCAAATCCTGTGTTCTCAAAATTTTGCAATAAATTTAAAATATATTGCATTATATTAAAAAAATATTATAACTTTCAATACTTTTTAAAAACCTAGAATTTATTTTTTTATAAAAAAAACACCATAAATTTTTAGAGCATAGTAGAGAGCTTTTGACAAGTATTATTATAGTTTTTTTAAATAAAATTTATAATAAATCAATGCACAATTTTTTTTTGATTTTTTTTAATAATACACAATGTATTTAATAAAAACAGTATATAGATAAGAATAATAATAGAAAACTTTATTGAATTATTATAATAAAGTTGTATTATGACCTATCTCTATAATTAAACAGCTTAGGTATAAGACAAAGGGACAAAGGAACCTTCTTATTGGTTGTGAAGAAGGAAATATGGAAACATACATGATGGGTTGAAATGCGATGCAGTTTAACAGATGAATACAACGAACGAGCGAAGGGGCAGATGCAAATATAGAGACCCAAGGGAGACTTGGCAGTGCTAACATAACATCAATGGAATCAATAATACCCACACGATGCTGATCACATCACTCACTCTCAGGTGTGTGTGAATGTGGGTGGAAGCATCGGTCTCGCTGCGCCTCCTCACCCGGGTCTTCCTTCCTTTTCCCCGCCCCCTCCTCCTCCTGCTCCTGCTCCTCCTTCTTCTTCTTCATTCCTCTCGTGACTCTCCTTCGCCACCCCTTCCTGCCTTCCTTCCCTTCCCCATGCCATGCCTGCAATCTAACGAACGCACCACTGCCATCTCCACCACCACCACCACCTCACTTGCATTCACTGGAACCTACCTACCTACCTACCTGCCCCCCTTCCCTCCCTCGCCTTACGTTTCTCTGCCTGCCTGCCTGCCTCCCTCCCAGCTATGTATGTATGTATGTATGCTCTTCTCACCCTTTCTTCTCCTCTCTTGCTCTTGCTCTTTCGATCTTTGTTTCTGCACAGTGCTCCCTCCGCTCTCTCATTCCTTCTCATATTCCTCGTTTACATTCCTGTTCACTCCTTTACACTCCTCCACTTGCTTGATTTCATGGCGTTCTGGGGATCTCTTGGCAGCCCCGGGTTGGTGTGCCGCATGCTTCTCAATTTTGATTGTTCCCAATTCTTAGGTCCAACTTTGCAAATGCATATTCTTAGGTCCAGTTGAAACTTAAGTTACCGTAGGCTGATATGTTATGAAATCAGCACTTCGTTTCTAGTTAGGAGGGTCTGCATGCAATTTTGTTTTATTTTCTGCGAGTGTGCTTTTTTATTGGGAACGAGGGTCTATCGATCTGTACCGTGTCACTTTCGTTGCTGTATGTTTGCCAACTACATACTTACCTAGCTTAAAAGCAGTCACAGATCATGTCAGGTTATCCCTGCAGTAGGATATCTGCTTCGACATCATGTCTATTCTTCCAGCTATTAGTAGAATATTCTGACGGGTCATTCATGTCATGTTCCCAGATTAGTATGAATTATTTTCGGAGGAGGACGGCCTGGGAGATTCTTCAATTGAAGGCTACGTAGTCATCCAAACTTCAATCTAGTGTACATGTCAATTAAACCTAACAGTAACGTTGGTTGGCTTCTTTGGAACTGAAAAGGTGAGGAATATGGTTGGCTTCATGTAGTTCGGAGCAGTGGCTATCGCATCAGATTATGCAATGCTTGTGGTTTCAGATTCTGCATTTGGTGCCTTAAGTGCAAACCAATTCTTTTCCATTCGCATATGGGTGCTATCTCATTGTGTTTATTTGTACTGCAGAGTTCCTTGCGTTCAGATTGAGAGTGGTTTGCATTTCTATAATCGATGGTTTAAGCCAAGTCTTTCGTGAGGCGCCTTTAGTGACATAAGGCACTGTTGGCAGAAACTTGAAAAACAAGCATCTTCAGAGGCGTATTATTCAGTAATCGTCCACTTTGACGAGATTACATTCCGTTTTATTTTTCTGCTTTCCGATTGCCTCACGATCCGGCCAATGCCACTACCTACAGACTTTTGACGATGTTATGACATGTCTCCGACGTTTCAGAGCATCTACATACACCAATTCGGCATATTCTAGGCCTGCAATTCTCTGCCAGTAAATATCTGTTGGGATTTTGAATTTTTGTTTGTAGGGATGGCTTTGAAGGTACGATTTCTGCAACCCTGTGGAACATGCACCGGACATATTTTTCCTGAGCAGAACGTGTTGTATGCCGCTTCACCTTTACACTGTGAAAGTATTCCTTTGATGTGCTTTTCTAGAATCCAAAACACGTTGAGAGGGTGAAGCTATAATTATAGTTAAATCTCCTTGTTTCGCTTAACTAGCCGGTGTGGATGACCATTCCGCTAAACAATACCACCAGAAAATGGAGTGTTTGTGTTACAATACAGAATTTTCCTTTCATGCATTGTAGCTAATCGATTGATTGTTACCTTTTGTTCAATGAACGTGAGGAATAGGAGATAATGTAGCCGGCACATGTGCGGGTGATGTTCAATTTTTTTTGAGCTGAATTTCAAGTTAAATATACTTAGTGTGCCGTTTTGTTGATTTCCAAGAATAAACCCATTTCCAAGGCATTCTGGAACAAACACCACCTTGCACAATAGGGGCTAACTTTCAACCGCACGTCTTTTCTTAGATTGGCATTTCATGAGTAACTAAATCTCAATTTAAAGAGGAAAGTATACTTAGACATTGGATAGATGTGCTCTTTTTCCTACTTACAATCAGAATTTGCAAATGTAATAGAGGATATTTGCTTTAACAAATTAAACTAATTGCATGTCTAAATGTTTAGATATCCTATTAGCTCTTTGCATTGTTATTGAATTCTTAATATTGTAATGATATTATTGTGGTGGCTTGGTCTATTAGAGTTTTTTGTTTATTATGTGTGTGTTTAAACAAAAGTATTTGAACATGTTATTGTCTAAAACATTTATCTTACTTTATAATCTATAGGATGAGTAGTATAACTTTATAAGATCCAATTGGTCTTAAATATATTCCTTTAAATAGGTGAGTGTACATGTCTAATATTTGTTGTGATTGTTCAATAAACAATTAAAATGAATTTAATTATGTCAAAGTTTGTTAATAATGTTGAATTTAATAAAAATATTTTTATTATTTGAAGGACCAACAATGAAGATTATTTAAGATTGATGGTTTAGCTTTAAAATTATAGATTCAATATGTAAGATAAAGAATTGTATAATTTGTAGAATAATGTGGTTAAAAGAATGTTTGATAAATACTCTTGAAATACCAAACAAATCCAATGCATAATTTTCTATAGGTCGTGAGAAAGTAAAATTGGATTTTATTTTTATTCATTTATCATAGAATATCTTTTGAAATTATTTAAGTATTATATAATCATGGTTTGGAGCTATTTACATCGTTATTTCAAGTCAAGTTTTTCAAGCATGGAAAAATATGACAAAATATCAAGTATGTAAGATATTTTTGAAGATACTTGAAAAGGATCTGAAGTCTATGTTGGAACATTTGAGGTTTTATTAAACAAAAATAATTTATTGAATAAAAATCAATGTGCACATTTGTGTAAGAAAATTGAATATGTTACAAAGGTTTTTGAGTATCTAATGACTTGTACCAATAGTGTATTGGAGTTCAAGCTTTTAATCAGTGAGTTATTTTTTATATTCAATAAATCTTATTTTCTAGTAGAAAATTGTAGAAAACAAAATTGGTGCGAAGAAGCTATCTTCCAATTGAATAATAAAGAGACTTTCAGGGAATTAATTTTAGATTTAAAATGTTTTTGTGATGTAATAAGTGATATGCTATTAAAGTATTATCCCAACAAATTTGAAGATATTAGATCTATTACTTTTGATGTTGCAACATGTGATGAAGTAGAAGGTGATGTTAAATTTCTATATGAGAGGTTGATCCAAATAAGTGAAGAAGAAGATTTTGAATATTGGAGACTAGCAAAGCATCTATTACATAGATTAGATGATTTACTTTGTCTAAAACATGAGGAATGGGATGATTCAAAACTATCATTAGATATGATGAGTATAGAAATCATAAAATACATAAGTGAGGGAGGATTTGGAACAATTTATGAATCAAAGTGGTTGGGAGTTTTGTGTGCAATCAAAAAAATGGATGTTTCATTCAACAAGTCTTTTATAAGAAAAGTTATTATTTTAGCCAATTCATGCCACCCCAACTTGATAACATATTATTTTGTAATGAAAGATAATACCAAAGAAAGTAGTGAATCTTCTGAGATAATAGTCAAAAAAGACTATTTTTACATGGAAATGGAATTGATGCAAAAAAATTTAAATGACATGCTGGAAATGGAAGAGAAATTATCTTATATTTTTCTTATTGATATTATATATCAAATTGCAAAAGAAATGTGTTACTTGCATGACATGCACATTATACATCATGATCTTAAATCATAAAATATTTTGGTTAGTGTTATGGAGACAAAAATTATGAAAAAGATTATTCAACATGCTATTATAAAAGTGATAGATTTTGGAATATCTAAGATTGAAGTTAGAAGCAATCCAGAAACTACAAAGAATAAAATTCGTTATGGTACTGTCTCATATATGGCTCCCGAAATATTGAAAAGTAAGTTTGAAACACTAACAATGTATTCTTTTGAAGCAAATGTTTATTCTTTTTCAATGGTATGTTCTAAGTTTCTTTCAAAAAAAAATCCATTTGATGGTGTATATGGAATGAAAGAGACATTATAAAGAATTGAAAAAGATGAAAGACCAAACTTACCATCAAATTGTGATGACTTGATTGAACTTATCCAAGAATGTTGGAGATTGAATCCTTTGGATCGGCCAAAGATTGCAAACATTTGTGAAAGATTGAACTTACTAAAGAAAAAAAAAATTAGTTGGAATTGAAGTAGCAAATGCATCATATTTTAGATAATCAAATAAGAATTTTCATCAAATTAGAAGATTTCAACAAATACATAATAAATTACCATTGGTAAGACTTATATAAAATCTAAAATAAGCAGATATATAGTTGAATATATTGATTATATTTGGTAGTTTTTTTCACACTCTTCTATGCTTCAATGATGTTTAGATGCATTTGTATGAGTCCAAGTTAACATGAAAGGTTAAAATATAGTATATGCATCATTTTATTTTATTTTATTTTATTTTAATTTATGATTAAATTTTCTACTTATAAGATGATTTACTTAAAAAAGAAATATTTGATAAAATATAATATTTATCACAAATAAAAAAACTATGTGCAAATAAAGTAAAGATATTATTTCTTGTTGGAATAGGAGGAATAGACAAAATCACAATAGTGAAGACTATATTGATTGATGGAAAAGACATATACAATGCCTCATGCTTTGTTAAGTGCATTGAAAGTAGTAGTGATTGCTATACAACTTCTTGCAATATCTTAGAATAATTTCAAGTCAAAGAAAAACCAAAGGATATAAAAGAAGCTCATAAAATGTTAAAAGCATTCTTAATACAAATTAAAACCATCATAGTCTTTGACAATGTAAAGGATCAAAGTAAAATTGAAGATGTTGTGCCCATAGATGACATATTTGCAAGCAATGGTAGCACAATGATTGCAACAACTCGAAATTCAAAAGCATTAAAGCATTGTGGTAAGAAAGTTTTTGAAATAAATATTGAAGAACTTGATGAAGAAACTAGTATGAAGTTGTTTATCACTCATTCTTGTCACCACGAAAATATACCCAACGAACTTATTGAGATTGGCAAAAAAATTGTAAAAGCTTATAATAGCCTACCATTGAGTCTAAAAAGTATGGGAGCATTTTTAAGACAGAAGAAGAGATTGAGATGTTAGGAGAGAGCTTTACAAAAGTTAAAAAAGGAAAGAGAGTTGGAGGGAGATGAAAACAATAGTAACTATAAGATTTGGAAGATATTAAGTGTAATCTTTGACAATTTAAAAGTTGAAGAAAAGAAAGTATTTTTGAATATATGTCATTTCTTTTATAATGATGTCTATCCACAAGGCATGTCAAAAGAAAGAGCATTGCAAATATGGATCAATAATCAAGAAAACATATTAAAACATGATGTAGAAATTACATTAAGAATATTGATTTATCAATCATTGATAAAAGTAGAGAAAGATGGAATTATAAGAGTACATGATCAACTACAAGACATGGGTAGGAACATTGTTGAAAAAGAAATGGAATATAAATATACAAGAATGTGAAACTTGAATATAGATCCATTTCATGGATTATCAAACAAGGTAATTTTACTAGACTATTATCTAAATGGTATGTAGAGAATTAAAAATAATAAGAAAGAATCATTTTTAATGAAGATTAGATTTTTTTTTTTTATATATCCTATAATTTTTATTATTTTTTTTAGATGTATAATAATGTAAAGTTATTATATTGAAATATGAATCTTCTATTGTAATTATATATGTATCTTCATTAAATATATTTTTAATAGAGAAATTCTAATATTTTTGTATATTTAATTATATTGGTTTATAGTTGGAGGGATTGTTTTACAATAACATAAACAACAATAGTATTGGCAAATTAAAGAGTACTTCTTTTTCATCACTTCAATTTTTAAGTTATAATTTTGGTATTTTTGCATCTAAAAATATGATAAGAGTTTTAAGCATATTTTTTTGTGTTGGTAAAGCATTTTCTTAGTTTAAGATGTTTTCTACTAGAAATATCAACAAAATATAAATTAACCAAAGATGAAAGAGACAAAATATTAGAAATGCTATATGATGAAGATGTTTGGAAAAAGTTTGAGAGTTTAAATGTGTTGCAATTGAGAAATTATTCTTTTATAAAAAAAATTCCAAATTTATTTTTTGAAATTTCTACAATATTAGAACTTGATTTAGAAGGATGCTCAAACTTAACCATGCTACCAAATGAAGTGAAAAATATGACTTTGTTGAAGACACTTAATTTAAAAGGTTGTGAAAAATTAAGATCATTGCCAAATGACTTGAGCAACCTCACATCTTTGACTATCTTAAATACATGGGGGTGCTCAAGCTTGACATCATTACCAAATGAATTGAGCAACCTCACATCTTTGACTACCTTCTATATGTACAAGTGTTCAAGCTTGACATCATTGCCAAATGAATTAGGTAATTTCACATCTTTAACTACCTTAAATATAGGATCATACTCAAGATTGACATCATTGCCTAATGAATTGGGCAACTTCACATCTTTAATTACCTTTGATATCAGGTGGTACAAAAGCTTGATATCATTGCCAAATGAATTAGGTAATCTCACATATTTGACTACCTTGGATATCACTTGGTGTGAAAGCTTGGCATTATTGCCAAATGAATTGGACAACCTCACATCTTTGACTACCTTTGATATTAGTTGGTGCTCAAGCTTGACATTATTTCCAAATGAATTTGGTAATCTCTCATTTTTGACTACCTTAAAAATGAGGACGTGCTCAAGTTTGACATCATTGCCAAATGAATTGGAAAACCTCACATCTTTGACTACCTTAAATATGAGATGGTGCTCAAGCTTGACATCAT